TGAAAGGAACTCCAGATAGTAGCCTTATATATCCTAATTGAGACATTCCAATCCTCAGACATGCAGCAGAGGCTGCTTTGAACCAGAGAGAATGAGAAGATAAAATGCAAGAGGCATGAGTTGATGATGAACATGCCCACCCAAAACCAGACAACTTCCTGGGATGGGGCAGAGGGAAAGCTCCCCCTATTGGCTGATGTTGCCCAATATTATGGTACTGTCTCTGGTGCTACACTGCTTTCCTCCTGATTTGCGTGAGAGGTTCTGCCAGCTGAATTGTTGACTCAGCTCTAATTTACATGCAGGTTGTTCTGAATTTCCAAAGATCCTGAATTGTGAGATGGCCTGAGTGAGCTCCCCATGCTGCCTGGTGTATCTGTCACAATCACACCTGAGGGTAGAAGAGAGCTGAAGGATACATCTCTGCAGATGTTCTTAAGCACTGTCCACTGCTATCAAGTGTCCTGGATATTTTCGGGCATGGTCACAAGGGACTGAATAGGTGGGATTTAGTGCAGGAGGTCAGACGGGATGATCTGGTGGTCCCTTCTGACCGTAAGCTTTATCATCATTGTCGTGTTGAGGCTGATATAGTGACCTTATCAAGCTCCAATACATCTCATTCTGAGTCTGACACACAGCATTTACACAGAAGCAGGAAAAAACAAAACTTAGCAAGTCTCATGAAAAATCACATGGTTGATTTATTGACTGTGAGTTCTCACAGAGTCCACTGATCTCTGTACCTCCAGAAACCTGTCGTCTGGTGAGTGAAGTCCACAGTGTGAGTCAGAGAAATGGCAGTCTCCTCGCTGGAGCAGCTACCGACTAGAAGAGGGGACAGACACGATTCCTGGTGGAGACTGTGGTCAACGTTTCCAAATGTGAATGTCTAGTGTTAGGCACCTAAGCCCATATTTAGGCATCTAAATAAGTGATCTGATTTGCCGAGTTGCTGGGGACCTGCAGTTCCCATTTTCCATGCTGGGCAGTCAAGTGATATAACATGAAGGATCAGACTGTCTGGGTCTCTGTTAACTTATCACGCCTCTTTGTGTCTCTGAGATCATTCCTCACAGTCAGGATTATGACTTGGCTGCAGACGGTGATGTCATGTCTAGACTGCTGGGCCAACCTGCACTGGGCAGTCTGAGCAGAGTGTACAGTCCTTTCAACACACTGTCTGGAGGCTTCTCTGCCATGGAGTCTTTCTATACATCTCTGAATCTCACTCAAAGGGTTGCATTACATCCCTGCTGTAGTTTGTGGTAGTGTTTTTGGGGGACGTGCATGTTCTGTTACTGCCTAAACTCTGTTCAAAGCCTTTGTGCTTTAGTTCAGGGCCATTCTTCTCATTGTTTTCCCTGGCCAATATGTAGTAGCTTGCGTTTCTCCACATTAAATCTAATTGCTACACATTGTCCCAGTTACAATATCCTCTTGTTTGCTACTCAGAGATTGAAACATTAAATCACTTCTGTTTACCTGTCTCAAGAAACGGAATTTCCAATTCAACTGCCAAACACTGGTAAATAAAGTAAATCTGTTTAAAATAATTGGCAGCATAAATATCAGCCTATTTTAAAGTGGATTGTGTATATTGCAGAACTACAAAGCACACACAACATTTTTATCTCTTTAGTCAACAGAACAAACACCAATTTTTCAGCAGTAGACAGATGTCACTTAAATGTTTGAATTTCAGTTTTTAGCACCTTCTATTTGCAGGAAATGCATATGAAAAACGTGCTTTGTATTCACCACTTTGCTATTTTAAAAATAAGACACAAACTGATTCAAACGGATCAGTTTTTCCACGCCATACTGATCCCACACTTTCACTTTCATGTGATTTTTCTAAATGGTTGGACAGCTGAATTATCTGCGGCATATTAATCAGTCCACAAAATTATGATAATAAAAAAATATTTCTTAGCACTTTCCTCCACAGATTTCAAAGATCTGCACAAAAGTGGTCAAGCATCATTATCCCCATTTCACAGATGGCGAAACCAAGGGGGGGGGTGTCTAAATAGACCAACATACCAGAGGCCAGCTGGAAGAGGTTACATCAACCATGTTTTTCAGAGTGTACTTATAGTAAGGTTCTTTTAACCCAGGAAGCAGAGTGTTACTATGTAAGCAGGAAATGATGCCAAAGAATTAAATGGCAATTTCCCCCTCCCCCCCCAATGTTAAATATCTAGTACAGCAGGGTGGAAACCAGTTTAAGAAATACGCTATTTGACTGGTCACTTTCTCTTCTTTGAGAAGGTGCATGTCTGCTGACTCTTTATTTGCAGGCTGAGTTCTCACTGTTGATTTGACTAGCGAAGCTACAGCTTTGCCTCTGAGCAAGCTTGGTAAGAAAGGGGCCACTCCTCCACCTTCCCATCCAAATGAGCTGTTATAAACTCCAAGAATACTTCAGTTATCATAAATATCTGCGGAAGGGACCTATAATTATCGGGCTGTACATGTGTTTCTCAGGAGACTTCCCTTCTGACATGTCCTATCCATAAGAGCCAAGGGGAAGAACAGCATCTCCATCACCATATTGCCCTCACAAAGTGACCGATGGGTGGGTTCTATTAGCCCCTCTTTGGAGAAGAGGAACAGACGGGCTTTCTCTGTTCTTTGAGTGACGGCATGTTTGCCGATCCTCTACTTGTAGGAAGCCGTCAGTAGTGAGAGGAGTAAAGGCAGGGCTGATGAGGATATGGAATTTAGGAGCTATCCAGACTATGCAGACAAACAGGCTAATGGTGCTACCTGTGAATTGAAGACCCCTCTGCCAAAGGCTCTATCAGCAGACCTGGAAGTTGAGATTATAATGGTTACAAAAAGTATGCATGCTGGACCAGGCAGCTGCCTCATTGCTCATCTGCCAGTCCTTTCCACCCATGATGCTGTGGTTATTCAGGACAAGTAACCTCCAGTTCCTTCAAGCACGGAATTCCTTTGGCTGTGCATGCCTCGCTGACATAGCTATAGATCCAAGTAGAGCTGCTATTCTGGTGGGTTTCCTGGCCCCACACCTCACATGATAGTTGCTAAACAGGACATTTGGGAGTCCCGCCTGATGTCTAATGGGCCATAGAAATGTCTTGACCAGGCTCAGGGGAGTGTCCATAGCTACCACTATGCGGTCTGCTTTGCTTTGGAAATATCTGAGTTGTGATACGGAGACAAAGCATGAGGATTATTACTGCAGCACTCTGGCCATTGCAAGCAGGCTGAGGAGTGGCTTAGTGACCCCGCTCCAGGGCATAGCTTCTTTGCTTCTGCAGTTGACAACCTGTCCAATGAAACAGCAGCATCACTTCCCTGTGGAACCTGGCTCCTGCCTCCCCCACACCCAGGGGAAGGGTGCTGCTCCAATCCATTCTTCCTTTGCTCTCAAATTCTCTGTCAGTAGGTCTGTAAAGCTTTGCAGTTGTGGGAAAGTAAGCGGTGCCTATGGTCTGTATAGACAGGAGTGGGATCCATCAGTTCTTTGGCCTCTTGTTCCCTTACAATACCAGCTGTCCTGACAGCCTCTTATGGGATGGCAGTAGCCATACAACAAAGGAATGTTAACTCCGTACATTTGCATGTATCACAAGACACCAGACAACGCACTGTTTTGGTGACCTGTAGCGTCCCACTGTCGGCAGTGCACTGAACTACACACAGGAGCTAGTGCCTGCCAGTCCAGCAGTCTTAACTCATTGTCACTAATATTACTGAATCAAAGAATCCCACCTGTTTATGGCCCATCATCCATGCAGTCCGCTCACAGTTTTGCATAAAATACCTTCCAAAACAATAGCTCCTAGAAACATGGGCTTTGCCATCCTGAATCAAACAGTGCTCTGTCTCTGCAGCTTCACAGGAAGGTACAAGAAACCCTGCAGGAGGCAGTTATGGGATAAGCTGTCCATAGGGGCAGTTTATTCCTGTCCCCCTTCATTTAGAGAGTCACTCATGCCCTGATGCAGAAGGTGTCATGTCCCTTCCAAAACTCTTGGCTTTTGAAATCCATGCCATTGTTACTATTATTGTTATGTAAGAAAGATGTGGACAAATTGGAGAGAGTCCGGGGGACAGCAACTAAAATCATAAAAGGTTTAGAAAACATTGGCATGTTTAGTCTTGAGAAATGACCACTGAAGAGGGGGACCTGGTTAGTGTCTTCAAATAAGTTAAGGGCTGCTATAAAGAGGACATTGATCAATTTTCTCCATCTCCACTGAGGGTAGGACAAGAAATAATGGGTTTAATCTGTAGCAAGGGAAATTTAGGTTAGATATTAGGGGAAACTTTCTTACTATAAGGATAGTTAAGTACTGGGATAGATTACCAAGGGAGGTTGTGGAATCTCCATCTTTGGAGACCTTTAAGAAAAGGTTGGACAAATACTTGCCAGGAATGGTCTAGGTGTACTTGGTTCTGCTTCAACGTGGGGGTATGGACTAGATGACCTGGTGGGGTGCTTTCTAGCCTTACACTGTTATGATTCCAAATATGGATATTTTTGTATCCTTATAAGTGACTGACCCTTTTTTGAATCCTGCTAAGTTCTTGTCTTCAGTGATACCTTGTTGCAATGAGTTCCACAGGCTATTCAGGCACTGTGTAAAAGAGTACTTTCTTTTATCAGTTTTAAATGTGCTGCCTTTCAATATCACAGAATGCCTCATTGTGTACCTGTAACTCCACAAAGGGCCTATGGTGGGGTATAGGGGACCATGTGCATTTTTCACAGATTCCAAGGCCAGAAGGGACCATTGTGATCATCTACTCTGACCTGTGAAGAGCAACTATGAATTTTTCCTCATGAACTTGAGTTACCGTTGCAGCACACTGTGCTATTTGTTAGGTACCACTTTAAAATGTAACTGTTTAAAACGTGAGACACTTTTCGTTTCTCTTCACACCCTCACCACCTCTGCTTTCCAGTCATTCAATGTGCATATGAGATTTCACAAGACTGCAACTCTAGCAGAGAGAGCGCCTACCTTCAATCCCAGATCTAGCTCCTTAAGGGAGCGCTTTATCTCGCTGGTGAGGATGTTCATTCGCTCACATTCCTGGAAGGCAACCACAATGTAGGGTGTCCTCTCCTCCACCTTTGCCATCAGCTCCAGGATGTTAAACTCATCTGTTAATTTCTCTAAAATCTCATCCAGAAGAGCCTTCACCTATTTGCCAAAGGAAAGAGAGAGAGAGAGGAGTGAGTGACCCATGTGCTTCCTCTACTGAATGGTGGAAGAGAGCTCCACCTGCCACTTACTGCATCGGAAAGTAATCAATGTCTTGCTGAATCACGCATGGCACGTTTCAAAACAGCTTGTCCCAGCCTAGGAAAATTCAAATGCCAACCAAACATCATGTCAAATGAGGCTCTTTTAAAAGGACTATCTATAAATGTCCACACGGCATGGCATACTCTATTTTGCATCCAAGTTTGCATTGCTCCTTTTTCCAAGGCCAGGTTCAATGCAGGAAGATGGATGAAGCTATGAAGGTAAAATCAAATACTGGTGCCTCCAGGATTGCTGACTTTATGAACTATTCTTTAATGTTTTAGTGACAAAAATGGGAGATTATTTTAAATGGAATTTTAAACTGAATTTGGTATTCTGAATGAATACAACATGGGGAAAAAGCATAACAAAGCAAGTTACTTCCTGTCTCCTTCACAGCTGGATTTGGAAATATCATTGCTAGTGTGTAACTAATAAACAGAAAACGCACTAGGAAAAACTCCAAAGCAACAGGCTGGCATTTTGTGTATGGTGTGTTCTGGGAGCCTGTATGTATGCCAGCCAGACTGCCATCCCCTGTGGTTGATGGCTGTGTGCCAGCAGAGGCCATAGCCAGATTTATTCGCAATGTTCTCACATCATCTTCTTTTTATGGTTTGGGTAGGTAGCAACAACTAAAAATTTGTATGTCCTCACATGATGATAATGAAGGCACTGGAGCGCAGAGGACCAGTTAAAGTCAGGCCCTACCACTGGCTATGGTACAATTACACTAATATGTCGAGCGTCTGTAGGGTTACCATATTACATCAAGCAAAAAAGAGGACGGGAGGCGCCCCGCCCTAGCCCCGCCCCTGCCCCTCCCACT